CCAGATCTTCTAAACTGTGTTGTTTAGACAGTATTCTCTAGAAGCAGTGAATAGCCATCAGAGGACTTTTTGAAAGGGAATGATGTGATCACATTTTCTGTTTAGCAAGTTCCCTGTAGTTGCAGAGTAAAGAATGGAGTAGACAAAATATGCTAGAAGTTGGGATATTGATAAGGATGTTGTTTTTTCCACCAATTCAGACAATTGTTTTGATCTCTGAAGTGCACCCAACTGGTAGGGGTCACATTGATCCTCTCTCATCCCACTTTAAAACTTCTGGTTCCATGTAGATAGTTGAGGTATAGGATATAGAAAGCAAGAGGTTTTTTCCTTCAGCACTAACAGTGAAGGAACTTGACCTCAACTAGCTTTTGCTCTTTAAGTCTCCCATGAAGATTGTTAGTTACCCCTGCTCTCATCCTGTCTCAAATACTGCTTTGTTAGCAGCCCATTTTGTAAGAATAGAGCCACAGAGATTTGATTTCAAGAAAATCTGTTATTGAGGTATAATTGAAATACAACAAACTACAGATATTTAAAGTGTACAATTTGATAAGTTTTGACATGTATATACCCTGTGAAATCATCACCACAATGAAGATAACACATCCATTACCCTCACAGCTCTTTTGTAATCCCTCCCTCCTATTGTCCCTCCCCTCCCCTTCCTTCAGGCAACCACTGATCTGCTTTCTTTCACTATAGTGATAAAAGTTTGCATATTTTTTAATTTTATGGCAATGCTATACTTTGTTGATTACCTCAGTTTCTAATAATTCTTGAAATCAGGTAGTACTTGCCTTCCAACTTGTTCTTCTTTAAAGTGGTTTTGGTTAGTCTAGATTCTCTACATTTTCAGATCAAATTTAGGATCTGTTTGTCAGTTTCTTTAAAAAAAAAAAAAAAAGCCTGCTGTGGTTTTGACTGGTATTGCATTGAATCTACACATCAATTTGGGGAGAATCGACATCTTTACAGTCCTGAGTCTTCCAACCCACAAATGTGGTATATCTCTCCATTTCTTTAGGTCCTCTCCTAATTTCAGCACTTTTTAGTAGTTTTTGGTGTTAGGTATTTCACATTTTTGTTAATTTATCACTATTTCATATCTTTGGATGTTCTTGTAAATAATACTGATTTTAGTTTTGATTTGCAATTACTCATTGCTAGTATATAAAAATGCAGTTGATTTTATATATTATTTTGTACTGAAACATTGCTAAAGTTACTTACTAGTTCTAGTAGCCTTTTGGTAGATTCCATAGAATTTTCTACATAGATGATCATGTCACCTACAAATACAGACAGTTTTACTTCTTTTTTTTTTTTTTTTCCAAAATGGATGTTGGGGTTTTTTTTTCCTTGCCTAATTGTACTGGTTAGAACTTCCAGTACTGTGTTGAGTAGAATTGATAAGAACAGAGACGTCTTGTCTTGTTCCTGATTTTTAGGGGCAAAGCATTCAATATGTCACCAATGAAGTATGATAGTTGTAGTTAATTTTTTTTATGGAAGCCCCTTATTAGGGCAAGGAAGTTTTCTTCTTTTCCTAGTTTGCTGAGCTTTTTTTTTTTTTTTTTTTAAGATTTCATTTATTTTTAGGGGCAAAGCATTCAATATGTCACCAA